AGATTCATGTAATATTAAGGTTAACAAACCATCTATAAAGTTAATGAATCGTGATACAAGTTTGACTCCTCGCTAAGAATCAACTGTGCAGTCTACGTACGCACGTGATAATTTGAACTCCGTCGTGACGTCATCAGTAGAGGCGTAGTTAGTATTTTTTATAAGGTGTCAAACACGTACCTTATAACAACGGATAGCTGATGAGTTGTGTCCAGTTCGCTCGCAGAGCAACTGTTCGTCAAGTCCGGCATCGTAAAGTCGAGTTGCTGTGGTCGCTCTAAGCGAATGTTTGGTATAGAAACCACTGAAGCCTGCAACCTTGCAAAGACGGCTGATGGTTTGGGTGAGAGTGTGCACGCCAATTGGGACGTCAGCAAACCAGACATCTGTCTTAGGCTACCGAAGTGGTCGTAGATAAAACGCCTGGCAAGTACCATTACGTGGCCTGAAAGTGCAGACAAATTGTTTGCTAATGGGTATACAATATTTGTTTAAATAAGGTCAAGGTCGCGACAGATTCCGCTGCAGATAAGGGCAGTGCAAATATCAAAGATGCATGCATGTATTTACCCAAGCAATCATGTCTTAATATTTATATTATACTATATTTATATCAGTGTTCAATATCAGTTATCCATATATATACTGAACGTCATTGAAACGCACCACCTGTATTAGTTTGGATTTCCAAGTGCATAAATGAGCAATCGGTGTAAATTTTACATACTTTTGTAGTCCAATGATTGGTAAAGAAAAAGAAACAAGAACCAATCCAGCAAAACTATGAAGTTTTAATTCAGCTGACCATGAATGAAAGATGGAGTCATATTAGAGAAAGTCAGTAACGTGTATGACCACCGTTAGCAGCAACACAAGCTGTGCAACGTCTCCCTCGTTGAACTAATAAGTCTCTGAATAATGTTTTGAGGCAATGCATTCCACTCTTGTTGCAAGGCATTCTCAAGTTCCTCAAGGTTCTGATCTGTGGGCGACGTGAGAAGCGTTGGCCGATGTAATCCCACAAGTGTTCAATGGGAGACAAATCTGGTGACAATGTAGGCCATGGAAGTAGAGGAATGTTGTTGTTTGCCAGTAACTGTGTTGCAACACGTGCAGTGTGCGCTCCAACATCGTCCTGCTGGAATTTGGGCAGATCTTGATGTTGGTTAAAGAAGGGAACGACGTTGTTCTGAAGAATGGTGTCACGGTAGTAAAGGGCATTCACTCTGCCACGACAAACTACCAGAGCGGTTTTGTGATGATAAATGATTTTGATGTTGGTTAAAGAAGGAACGACGTTGTTCTGAAGAATGGTGTCACGGTAGTAAGGGCATTCACTCTGCCACGACAAACTACCAGAGCGGTTTTGTGATGATAAATGATCTTCCCCACACCATAATGCTGCCTCAACCCCACCGATCTGTTTGCACACCACAGCCCTGATGGTAACGTTCTCCCCCGTCGACGCCATACCCATAGACGCCCGTCAGCATTTCGCAAGTGAAAACGAGAATCGTCGGAGAACACAACACCATGCCAACGTTGTAACAACCACAAACGATGCTGTTCAGCCCACCGTCGGCGTTCACGGCGATGTCTATAAGTCAGGATGGGTCCAACATAAGGGGCGTCGACACCGTAATCCTGCCGCACGGAGACGGCGTCGGACGGTGGAAGCACTGATCAAACCACGTCGGCCTTGAACAGCGTTGGCGGTTCTGGCAGCCGGCAACGTACGATCCCGAATATGACGCCGAACAATGTCTCGATCTTGGCGAGGGGTGGTAACACGTGCCTGGTCTGGACGTTGGCGGTCCCTGATGGTTCCTGTTTATTGGTACCTGTTGGCAAGTCTTATGATGGTGGAATGATGGAAACCAAATCGTCTGGCAATAATCCTGCTTGACGTGCCAACCTGCAACATGCCCAACGCCCGTTCTCGTTCCTCTGATGACAATCTTGGCATTGCAAAATAAACTTTACTTGCGGAGGTACAGCTTTTTTTGCCGACAGTCATTTATACCCCTAATCAGCATGTTTTAAGCATGCAATTTGTGCTTTTCGTGTGTGTTGTGCATGAATTTTGTTGTTGTCATGTGATGTGTTCCATGATGTGTTCGGGCAATCCGTTCTTTACTGTACAGCATTATTTATTGTCTTTTTGTGGTATTTTTCACTCTATTCATTTTCACTCTATTTCACAATCCTATTACCATATTTCAAAATTTACAGGTGGTGCGTTTTCATTGATGTTCAGTATATATTGCAAATGAATAGATCGCTAAAATTAATTGTAAGTGACATATTCATGATATCTTACCTTAGATTCAAGTACATTTCGTATAGACGAACCAAACATCTCTCTGGCCGCTCGTTGTTCTGAGACACCTTCACTACTTTACGTTCGCACTTCCGGTGTTTAAGGCCGCCCCTGTTGGTCTTGGACATGTCCTCGGTGTAAACTAGGAACTTGGACCCTTTATTCACGTTTTTCATTACCTTAAGTTGGGATGTTTCGCCTAACCGCAAAAAATCGATGCTCGTCTCCTGCTCTGAAAATTAAGGCCAATCAAATAGATTAAGGTGTCACTGAGCTGTTGCGGAGAATCGCTTCCTAAAAGAGATCTCGCCCGCAAAATATCCTCTTCTTCCTCTGTCGCTTTGTGATTCCTATGCCCTGTCTAACCGATGCTTTCATTTTGGCATCTTGTATGTTTCTCAGGCCTTCGTAACGGTGCTCAGTAAAGAAGTTTAACGGGATACCATTTCTCCGGATATAGTACTGTAAAGAAGGGAGAATCTCGTACAGAGAGTTCCCGCGGCACTCTGTCCCGTTCTGCTTTCGAACCTCGGTAACAAATATGATTAAAGTTCGATTCAGATCGGATTCATTTCTCGCCAAAGTCAAAAGGTCATGCTATTTAGGAGTTGGGGAATTGTTTTTGTCTTTCTTCACACCAAGAACTGAACAGACGCACTGCCCACATACTCTTGTTTTCAGTTTTTGTCGAAAATGCAGACTTGCTTAGTGTCTCTAACTGACTACCTGGCATTGGAGTTCCGAAACGAAACGTTTCAAGAGCATTGTTTCCTTTATCGGGGTCTTGTGCACGGGGGATTGAATTAATGGGGTCAGACTGCAACTTGTTTTCAATTCTTGACTGGCTAGGAAACGTTCAGTTTCAGATGAATTTTGACCCTCTCCTAAAACATAATTCTCGTTTTCAAATTCCTTCAAAGTAATATCATCGATGTTTGATTTATCCAAATTGATTAAAGTCTCAAATTCATCATTGATTGCAAAATCACCAAGTGTAATGTTATACCGGTCTTGGGTCAAAAACAGATCATCATCAGAATCCATTGTTTACGCTGACAGTGGTGACGAGAAGGTAGTTTCCGTTGTGATTTTCCTTTTTATACGTCACAAGCTGTAGATTATAGCAGCACGAGTATTTATAACGGGTGCGTTTTTCAGAATGTTTAAGTACGTTTGACATCAGTACGTGTTTTGGTGTCCAGTGTCACTGTACATTAGTTCCACACGTGAATGCAATGGTGACTTCGTTTTAAGTTGGAGAAAGTCTTAAATCCGTCGATTATTTTCGCTCGTGAAGCCCGTTCTCGGCCTTAGTTATATTAACCTACGACAGTTGACACAATGATGGTTATGAAGCTATATTAACCTACGTCAGTTGACACAATGGCTGTTATGAAGCTATATTAACCTACGTCAGTTGACACAATGGCTGTTATGAAGCTATATTAACCTACGACAGTTGACACAATGGCTGTTATGAAGCTATATTAACCTACGTCAGTTAACACAATGGCTATTATGAACTTAATAACCTACGTCAGTTGAGACATTGTTGTTATGAAGCTATATTAACCTACGTCAGTTGACACAATGGCTGTTATGAACTTACCCAGATAGTAGCACAACGCCGTTGAGCCAACGTTGGACCAACCATTGCAATAAGTTGGGCCAACGTCAGAATCCACCGTTGGGCCAACGTCTTTTTGCCCAGCTGTCCAACGTTGGCTCAACGTCGCACTCATAATATGTTGGGCCAACGTTGGCAATATGACATTATTCCACTGATGTCCCAACGTTGGGCCAACCTATCAAATAGCAAGAGCATCACCTGTAATCCCCACACACATACAGAATCGTGCCATAAGTGAGGGAACAGTCATGTAATTTCCATATAATTACATGTTAATTTGGTGTAGCATAAATAATTTTATGAATTCAATTCTGGTTGGATCAATGTGAATTTTTGCAGGTAGATTTGAAATCATCCCAGCCCAAAGTGCATAATTTCAATTCAATTATCTGACTAGTAGTTATTCAATTACATCATATTTACCAACATATATGTATGTACGTTTTGTAAAGGCCATGCCCCATAGACAGCCATGTTAAATGATTATATACAACAATGCATATGTTTTGTTGCATTATTGTCAATCGAAATTGAAACGGAAACTCAGATGATTCCTCACAAACATGCAAAGTTTTATGAAGATTCTCTGAAAATTAAATTCATTAAAACTATTTATTCTACACCAAATTAATATGGAAATGTCACCTTTGTTAACTTATGGCACTATACTGTACATATTTCACTTATCCACTCCTGTAACGTTTGTGCTTGTTTATAACAACACTTGTACGTAGATTCTCTCCACAATCTCATTAAAAGCAGATCTTAGACTGGCTCCCAAGGTTCGCTACACAAGATCTGAGGAAGCTTGTATGTGCAGGGTTGTCCGCATGAACACTGTACAGGAAATGATACTAGCTTAGATAACATTTGTATGTTATAAAAAAGTATATCTTTGATTGGTCAGATTACAAGTTTTGCTGGACAAACTACCCTTCTCGAGTTTGCTCAGTATCTTGTGTAGCAAACCAAAGAATTGCAAAGAATATCAGCATCACTCAGCCACTGTATTTCAGTTTGTCTTTTGATGATTGACAACAAAAGTAAAACATGTTTACACAAATTTATTTAAATCACAGCATTATTATCATCATCATCATCATCATCATCATCAGAAGTGTCCATCAGCTGAGACAGTGCCTGTTTTTTTGCCGCGAGTTCCCTCTCTTTCTCTGAAAACAGAGAGACATGTTATGGTATACTATCCAAAATAAGATTTTGAAAACGTAAACGCTTGAAATTGTATTAAGTAACTTCTGTAGAGTCAGGTTTACAGTAGAAATTTGGGAAGTTCAACACACAGTTTGATTTGAATGCTTTCTCTTATGATGACTATTAAGAAATGATATTTGGTGAATTATTCAATTTCAATTTGCATATAATCGAACTACACATCCGATGTACTGCCTGGTCACTGATCTCACTGCAGGGTGCAAAAGCTATACAAAGGCTGAGAAATATGTACCTTTTTGCTTGTCTGCACGCTTCTTGCGCCCTCCAGCCTTGTCTGCTGCATACTTCAGCCAGTTCTTAATATGGATTTCAGTAGCTGATTCCGTGCAGCCGGAAATCTTTGATGCATCTGAATAAAAAAATAAACTTATATAAACAGACAAGACACTGTTATACAAGACAACAAGAAACCCTTATGAAAGATTTTCTTGAATACATAGAGAATCTATTTATCATCCAATATCATTCTTCATTAACTTCGAACGGAAAATATTAATCTTTGAGCACTACACTATACCAGGGGTGGAAATAAATTTAAAATTGCTAGTGTACTCCGGCACAGTTGCACATGTAAAATCACTTGCCCTGATAATTTTTCCACTATACAGGCCTATTTTCTTGTTGATTTCTTAAATAAACAGCATAAGTAACACTGGAAAGTCAAGTACAGCATGATACACATATCTGCTTGCTCGACAGAAAAAACACTGGACTCTGACGTCAGGCAATGGGTTATTTCCATCCCTGCCTTGGCCTCTTCAGAAATGAGGTCACAGCACTACAGCTTTCGCAACACTGACATCAAAAGATTTAGGCTCAGTTCCTTTTCATCTAGTCGATACCTTTGATTATTCTTGCCAGCGAAGTGCTGGCAGGTCCCATCTTGTGGCCCCTCCCTTTCCAATTAAAGGAAGCTGCCAGGCTTGGAGTAAAGAGGGTAGACATTATTCTGTCTACAACCTCTCTTGCCGTGATTCCACCCAAACTACCAATATGACGGACCTATATTAAAAACACTACAAATTAATGTGTGTATAGCAATAAAGTCACTTAAACTGATGTAAAACATGACACTCAAGTAACGGCATTGTATCAGTGCTACACATTATTATTCAAGTATATGGTTATGGCTTGGTGACTATGCTTTTTGGATGCAAAACAAAAACTTTTTCACTTTGATTGAAATGTTGTTAATTGACAAATCTTTCACTTTACAAAACCCATGACATTTATATGCAAACATAGGACCAGGGGCCTATTTATAAAAATTCTAAGAAAATTCTTAATTTTGCTCTAAGATCTACAAAAAAAATATCTTAGCTAAAAGTAACTCTTAAGAATTATTCATAAAGGGTCTAAGTGTAACTTTTAACTAAGAATGGGAGTACAGTCTTAAGAAAATACTAAGTGTTGTTGTCAAGGGAAATCCGGGAATTCCCTGAGGTTATTAATAGCTCATGTAATGTCGATGGCGGCGCTTGCGCTGACATTTAAGAAGAGTTGAATAGCAGACCGAACCGAGTTCAGTTTGTTTACGTTCAGTTACCGGAAGAGGAGCTTCCTGGCAAAAACATTGATTGAAAAGGTAGGTAAATCAAGTAATTTTAATCCAAAAATGTGTTTATAAATAAATCTATATATGTAAAATGTTTTATAAATGTGACTTAAGAAATTCTTAACACTTAAGTGTAAATATCATGGAATTCTAAGAATTTCCTTCATTTAAGAATTCTTAACAATTCTAACAATTTTTATAAATACAGCCCCAGATTGATGTGAGCACATCATCGAAATCTTGAGAAACACTAACAATTTATATCTGTCTTCATGCCAATTTTAAGAAATGTAAACTATTGCAAACAAACACTGTCTTTAGTATTTATTCTTTCAAAGTGTTAGAAAAGCAACCACAAGCACTCTAAGAAAGAGTATAAGAAAAGCGAAAGGGACCATAACCCCGCCACCTTTCAGCAAGTGCACAGGAAACATTAGGTGAATATGGGATAGATGCATATAATCGAACTACACATACACAAGAAGCAGACAGTGCAAAAGGACTCTATGTTAAGGAAAAGTATTCAAATACCTGGATTGATCATAACCTGAAACATTTCGTGGATAAAACAAAACATTCTAAATATGTAAGGACACTGAAATACTACAAACAGGATACTACATATTTCAGGAGTTTATTTGATATTAACAATTCCATGCCCAATGCTCATAACAAAACAAACCCAATCTATTCAAGAAAACCAATTTGTTTAGATTAACTTGCATAAGTGTACTATTGACTATAACATTTTCATAAAATGTATTACGTCCATACTTCCCCCTGAGCGCTACCATTTTTTTGAAAGAGCTACAAAAAAAGAACAACTAAACATTTACTTACCAGTATTGCTTCACTCTCCCTTTCAGATAGCTTTTCTTCAACCTGTGCGAAATCATCCCCAGTTCTCATTGGGAGATGAAAGTTCTCCCGTACAAGATCTGGAGACAAGACCGCACTTTGCTTGGCATGAAGGCTCTTTAGGATCAGCGTATTTTGCCTGACTTGCTCCTGCACCTCACTCACTTTTTCAAGTAATTTTTTCAGTCTGCAAAGTAAGAAAATAAACATACTAACTATACAGAAACAACCCTGATGTCCCATGAAACTTTAGTTAAACTGGTCATGTAACCTAAATATAATATCATCTTAGCACAAACATCTTTACACAATTTATTTCGTATTAAATGCAACAATTTAACGATGATCGTGAATAGAGTGTTTTAAAAGTCATCTTACATGTTTTCATTGGCCATGGTTGCAGAACTGTGAACAAAGAAGTAGAGATAATCACAATACATAACAGAGTCTGTTTTGTTATCATATCCTCAGTGTAAATTTCGTATTAGTGATTGTATTATAGTTACTAGTTAACCAAGTGAAATCTTTATTATTCTAAAAAGTTATAATTTTAAACAAAAATGAATTTAAAATTACATAGAAAAGTATTCATTTACATAAGCACAACAATACAATCAAGTCTCTTTCTGTATTATCATCATTCCTTACCTGGTTGATGGCTTTGGTGATACCGGTAGGCTGTTTGTGTTATATGCAGGTGGCTCAGTGTAACTGGAAAAGAATACAAATCTAACCATGAAAAATTGTTGGACTGCATATTTTTTTTCATAGAAGGAGTGAAGTGTATTAATAATTGTATGCCTCTGCATTGCCAGCAAGCAAATAGTTGATGTTGGACAGGTAAAACTGTTTCCATTGCACAAGTAGAAATAAAGATAAAAACATTGGATGAAAAAACAACAACTAATCTTTAAAAATGTGTATGTCATGGGTCATCCATGGAAATATATATATATATATGCAAATTCAAATGTTTCTACAAAGAGAAAGCAACTAGTTATTGTACAGGAACATAGTAACTAGTGATCTCATCAGTAATTTAGTTAAGTAAAAATGTGTTTCACAACAATGAAAAATTACTAATGTGCAAAATATAAAGAGATGTTTCACACATATTTACCTGAGTTGCTGCCTTGGATGGATTACTGGAAAGGCCGGAACAGAGGGTGGCGAGATCTCAATAGTTCTACTTGAACTAACAACAACAAAGTAATATTCTAAACACACTTGCATTGCAATAATCTCACAAACATGGTTTTGCTCAGGAGATAAACATACTATGTTTCACAAAATGACATTTACATTAAAATATCAGAAAATTCTGTAAGTCAACAAGATGAAATGACAGAATATAACATCATTTTAGAGACTAAATCCAACATTTACAACCATTTCAATTTCAACCAATTTCCTCATGCACCTATGTGTAAGTGTTGCAATTAGTACAAACAGAAAAAAATTCAAACATAATACCCTTTCTTTGACTTCTGAAAAGTCTCACTTGAGGCAGGCCCCTCAGAATCAGATGATGTGATTTGCCTTTAGAAAAATATTGTGCAGCTGAGAACACAATGAAGCATGACTTCCTTTAGCTAAATTATCAGTTAAGCATGTTAGCCAGATTTAATTCAAGCTCAGCACATAGACATTTTCAACTCAAGCACATTTTGTCTTACTATTTACATGCTTGTAATTAATAACATGATCATAATACTACAGCAATAAATTTCATGGCACTGTGACCATGGTGACATACTCAGTTTGTGATCTTTTCTTGCCACGTTCATGTCTAGGCTCATCAACTTCAGCTTCTACCTCAAAGTCACTATCGATGGTAACAGGTTTCCGCCGCCTGAAACAGAAAATTTAGAATTTAAAATTCTGTTGCCAACTTTACCTGGATACTGAATACGTAATATAATGTAAATTGTAACAGTTCTCTGCATCTGATAAATCTAAAAAAAATATGATTGTTTAAAAACTGCAATATTTTACAACTCCAGTCTTCAAACCATATGAGTTTAACTAAATAGTTACCGTTTTTTATCCTCATCTGTAGTGGCAAGATCACTGACACCATCAGCTGCTTTTTTTAATGTCTTCCTTGCTTGAGAAAAGTCATCTGTGAAAAAACAGGAACAGATGACTTAAAACAACACTGCATGTGAAACAGGAAAAGGACAATATTCTTTTACCACAGATTTATACTAAAGCAGTGTCCAATTTTGGACCAAACATCAAGAGGGGGTTTGCCATACACCAAGATTTTTAATGAGAGGAGATTTTCATAATGTTCATGATACTTTCAAGTGAATCACGCGTCCGAGATTGGACACTGTTACAGTAACTTGCCCATGACAGTTTCTAAATTGTAAAACCATAGACATCACAGTCCTGATTAGAAACCCAAACATTTTTCTGTGAATAACTTAATCATACTTAATGTCATGAAGTTAACAATTTACATCATGTATAATATATTTCAAATGCATATCAAACCCTTTTCCTTCAGCAGTATCACATCATAGCTGTCCCATTCAGGGTCGGGCACTTCTTGTTGTTCTATGGCTCTCATCATTTGCTTTCCTTTGTATGGAGGCCAGTAACATTTGCTCTTGTCTTTACCATACAGCCAACATTTTGGCACTGCTTCAACTTCATTTTTCTCGGTGAATAGTACCACTGCATACATTTCCTATAAACTGAACAGCACATAGCATTCCTATGATAACTAAAGAGATCTAACTAAAGAGATAACTTGAAACAACATATTTTCATATTCAAACTGTTAATAATATACAGACATTAATAAACATTCAGGTTTTAAATCTAATGCATGTTCAGTTGAGTTGTCTAATACTACTTCCTAGAGACAATATTATAAACAAGTATTCTAAGTTAACAGTTCTCTAACAAATTTGAGCCTCACAGTCAGTGAAAACACAAATGCAGTATAACAGCATTGGAGTGAGTGAGTTAATATTTAACGTCACATCGGCAATATTTCAGCCATATTGTGACGAGGACATTTGATATTGAAATGAAATATATGTATATTATAAAACACCTGTCGACGAAGGACAGTAAAACAACTAGAATATCACAATTACCACTAAAACTAGTATGGAGAGATAATACTGAAAGCACTATTTGGACAATACAATATAAAAACAAGCTATAGATCACCAAGACTACAGCATTGGAAGTGAAACATATCCTGACTCAAAAGGCATCAGTACAGCTTTGGTAGATATGCTTTCTGGATTAATTTGTTTTAATCGACCTCATAGTTTTTAACAACAGATATTTTAAGGTATTTAGAATCACATGGATACTGAAAGAAGGATTCTACTTGCTCTTTGTATTCCTGACAAACAAGTTTTCGGTGGTTGTTGTGTACCAAAATATTCTTAATGACATATGTTTTGTCACCAACAATGATAGCATTGTCAGGTGCTTTACGGGATAGAAGGTAAGCATTCATTACAATCTGTTCATACTGATCACATGATGAAGCAATATCCTCAGGAATGGGACCTTTTTGGTGCTTTTTTCTGCAGTAAATGTTTGGTGACATTTTTGGAGTTTTCAGAACACCTTTTCTTTCATCCATACGCCGTATAGCCTGTTCAAGTGGCAAGTTGGGTTTGCGGATGAGTTTTTTTATTTTTTGCAAGAAATTTTCAAAAGGAAAGCCGGAGAAATTGTGAAGTGTGCCAAACAACCTACACTGAGAAGCAAGGTGAGTTATTCCATGGATGTTGTAAATGACTGCTTGTTGTCCATAAATGTCACTTACATTCTGTACAAAGACTTTCAGCAACTGCTCTGCATATTCATTAAACAAGTAACAAAACTGTTCACTTGACAGAATCCTGATGCTTACAAACAACAATAAAAAGTTATTGTAGAGAGCTTGTGAAATCTTGCCACGGAGGGCAACTGGGCCAGTATACAACAGAAACGTCCTAAACTCTGTAGCTTTCCATCTTTCAACTTCTGTGAGAGGCCTGCCCTTCCGTATGAACTCGCGCGGCAAAAATCTGCCCAAATTCACAATAGTTTCTGAAATCAGTTTTTTTGCATTACCTCCAATACGCACATGTAGTGGACCACTGGTGAGCAGTACAGTTATTTTCTTAACAACACCTAAGCATACTATATGCATATAGTCATGTGGGAATTGAGTCACTAGACCTATGTTGAGTTGAGATAATACAGATTTATCAAGTTGATGTCCTGTTTCAAGGTACTGCATATCATCAAAAGCAACATCAGCTCTTGCTGGAGCATCAACTTCTGGAAAAGTCATCCTTCTGTCTCTATAAACACCGTGCTGTACACAAAAATCGCACCCCTCGTATCCACAATGGCCTTTTGTTTTCTTTGCAAAGGCACGTGCTGGTGCATCGCAGACAAAATTGAGAATTGTCACACTATAGGTCTTTCCATTCAGTTTGACTCCATTACATTCAATGTCTTTCATTTCATCAACAAATCTTGTCAAAAACTCATTGGAATCTTTTGGTTTTGATTTTCCCACCCACAATGCCACAACAAAGGGTTCTGGTTCCACTTCTTCCTTGATTAATGCCAAAATAGGCCAAAATCCCTCTGTGCTACTCTTAAATAGAGGCAGACCATCAATATTTATCTGTAAGGTAAGTGTGTCACATCCATCAGGATTTAACTGATCCAATTTTGATTTAAGGGTATTAGCCAGTCCAAAATAGTGAAATTTTCCACCAGATACCTCCTCTATGTCAAAATACCGTTTTGTTCCTAACAGTGTACGACTGTCTTTTGGCAAAGATGGAAAAAATGGCCTCAAGATATCCAGCAGTTTATTAGTGTGACACTAAGGTGTCCCACTATCAAGCACCCACTGCTTCAATTTCTCCCTAATGTCGAGCTCTCCATCAGAGTCATGCTCTGAGCTGCTAACACTGGTTTCTCTAAAACTGTCACCATCTTCATCACCATCACCACCTTCATCGTCAGTGTTCATGTGGATATTCCCTCCTTGACAATGTTTATCAAATTCAGAGACATCTTCATGATAATAAATCTCATTATTGGGAACATTCTCGCTGTCGGGTGTACTTTCATAATGTGCAAGTATACGAGCCGTTTGAGATGATGCTCTGCGTCTGATTGTTTTTTGACTAACAATCTTATCCATTTTTCACCTGTGAACAGGGTTAACAAATCATAGTCAATGCATGTCCGGAGGAGACTGTCACGCGTACTCTTCCCTTACCCCTCCATAGAATTAAAAACAAGCAGCTCACATGGTCAAGCTACATCACATGCAACTGGCAAATAGATTTTAATTTGAAGATGTTTATGTATATGGTTGCTCCTAAAAGAATGTTACGGACTGGTGCATAGACCCCATTTTAATACCCCCGAGGGAAAATAACAAACCAAAAAACTAATGCATTAAATGCCAAAAGGGCAATAGAAAAAGGTTCAACGACCTAATAAAACATGTTATGACTGAATAAAAATATTTACTCAAATTAATTTATAAACATGCACTTGTTAGTCTTGTGATAAATTCCCGTTTACTCTATATTTGTCGAAGAAGCAGATCTAAGCTTGTAGATGTTTGTTTAATGAATATAGTGTATATGACACTGTTTAGAGATCATGTTATCATCTAGTCAGAATGGTAAATGTCAGTTGATAAACTCCAGTGTTGTTATACTCAACAAAATACCTTCAGGACAACCCCAATATTCAATAATTAAGTATTATATGGATCGTAACATTACATACTTCAATATTGAAAATTGGGTGGGTACTTCAGTATTTTTGTTTAGCATATTTACCTGAGGCAGAGATAAAAAGAATGTTTAAAACTCTAGTGGCCACAAGTTTAGTTAGTTCAGCCAGCTGATAAGCACACAAAGTTTAGCTGGCTGAACTTAGGTTCAGTTAACATTCATAATCCACATAACCAGATTGTAATCTAACTTGAGCAAAATTATTTTTCAACTCATCATTATAATTAATGATAAACAACTGAGCAAGTAATAAATTCCTAACGATCAATGTTGACTTGCAACGGTCAGCTGATAGAAAGGTAATCATGTCAATATTTTCAGGCTTTCCAAGGGAAGCAACTCTGCTCTCTGGTTGTAGTTGAAAGAAGTTGTGCTAATGAGATTTCAAAACCCCTACCTCAGGTTTAGTGAATAATATGCCGAATGGTACTATTACCCGACAAATATAAGTTATGCATATCCATATACTATACATACGTGGGACCCTATTCTCGCGGTGCTTAATTTCAAAGAAAAAAATCATCGGAAAACAACATCTTGGACAGGAACAGAGTGCCCTAATTTCGCGGTAACGGTATTCAGTGATACCCAAGACAACAACAAATCTTCAAAACATAGCTTCAAAATCGACATTTTCAAGAAGTATATCGAATTTAGAATATCATAAAAGTAATAAAATGGTAAGGTGGTATGAATTGTTGCTGTTTCAGTACTCTGAAAAAAGTTGCCGTTCTCGCCATAATATAATCTACCGGACCATTTTTCAATAGTCTTTTACAACTCACCAAACGATTCAAATTATGTTTTGATTGCATTTCCTCTATTAAATATCTTTGTTAGAAGATACAATATTGATTTGTAGTTCGATGTTTACATGTCACTACCGATAGAATATGGATACATCTCGAGAATAGGAGAGTGAATACTCACTTGCCCGCCACGTCGTCTGCTACGTCGTCTGCTAACAATTTCGCGCGTCCAATTTCGCGCCTAAAGCCAGTTCCTTTTTACAGCGCCCTCTGGTTAGGGAAGATAAACCACTATCATGCTGACCGCGGACCGCTAGTGGCAAACGCTCCGGTTGAAAATTAAAGTTTGAGGCTAGGCGGTATAAATAAATTAAATCATAGTACTTTTTAACTTTAAATATTCATCGTATGTAACCCTGTATACATATCAAATTAAATGTATTTTCATTTTTTAGATATATATCAACTATAGTAAGTACGTAAGGCGCATGAAAGCATGCACATAATTAATTACGATCAACAAAATATGGCAAAGGAAAGTACCGAGCTTGGTAGTATGGTCTGGCACATTTCCTGAAAAGGGATGTAGAATCTATCACATATATGTGTACAGTTTGCGTACGTGTGCATGACAAACCCTGAATACGGTGGCGTGCCAACGTCGAGCCACTGTTGCAAGTGCCACCCTTCAGCCGACCGATTGCCGTGACAATAAGCCAACGTCGGCCCAACGGTTTTTGCCGACTTTACTTATACCGACGTCGGCCCAACGAAGCTGTGTTATCTGGGTAATAACCTACGTCAGTTGAGACATTGTTGTTATGAAGCTATATTAACCTACGTCAGTTGACACAATGGCTGTTATGAAGTTAATAACCTACGTCAGTTGAGACATTGTTGTTATGAAGTTATATTAACCTACGTCAGTTGACACAATGGCTGTTATGAAGTTAATAACCTACGTCAGTTGAGACATTGTTGTTATGAAGTTATATTAACCTACGTCAGTTGACACAATGGTTGTTATGAAGTTATTAACCTACGTCAGTTGAGACATTGTTGTTATGAAGCTTTATTAACCTATGACAGCTGACACTATGGTTGTTATGAAGCTATATTAACCTACGTCAGTTGACGCAGTGGTTGTTATGGAGTTATATTGACCTACGTCAGTTGACGCAATGTTTGTTATGAAGCTATATTAACCTAAGTCAGTTGACACAATGGTTTTTATGGAGTTATGTTAACCCACGTCTGTTAATATAACGTGATAAAGCTGTATCATCGCACTAGATGACACACGGCTAATGTGCTGCAATCTTCATATGCATGCAGTTGTTACTGGAAACTCTATCACGATCTCAGTTTGAGTTAAGTTTTAAAGGCTAATTCATACCCTATCGTCGGCCTCTTCCGATTTCCGTTTCCACGTCACGTGCCAATCAAAACCAAGCGTCTCCTGTAATTATACCTACACGTAACCACAGCCAGGGGTCGTACACACCATAGTCCTGATGGAAGTCTGGAAACAAGGAACCCGCATGACGTTTCCATTTCCACTAGTGTTAATAGTCTTCAAGCGACCAGCACACACTTGGGCTATGTTAGAGTACAACATAATTAAAGTTTTCGATCTTTCTGTCGAGCTATTAACGTTAATCAAAGGCTCTCGGGTCGTCAATGTCAGGGATGAGAGCTCTCTGTGGGCGACTGATGCCGACTATAGTGTTCTTGGGGTTGAAAGTCGGATTGTACAGAAAGGCCAGCATGTCACTCAAAGCACGTCAGCAACGCCTCTAAGAATCAGCTTTCAACCGGGACGTCTTCACGGTTTTTTGGATAAGAAAATCAGTTTCAGTGGCATGGTGTAGTTGGGTGGGTAGTTTGATTCTTGGATGTTTGATTCCCCACATGCAGGAAAACATATGGCGCCCACTAAGGCCACTTGGTTTGTTCAGATGAGGCGCTTGTGGACATCCATAGACGGTCTCGAAAGAACATCGAGTGCACGACAAAGCATTGACTGGTTCGATAATGTTTTAGAGTATGGATTTATTATTATTCAATCCATCTTGTCCACCAGGTTTACTAAATGTCACACCCGCCATTCATCTACTTTCTGACGTTCTTTAATACAGCATGTCCTCCCGAACCTTTTGTCTGAGCTTAAGCTTTTCTTCAATACACTCTGTCCACCTAATGTTTTAATCTCAACTTCTACGTTTCGATTTTATTCAATACAATACAACCGACCCGAAGTAACCTACTGTCTTAACTTCTGCTTTTCGATTTTCTACAATATGATCTGTCCGTTTCAGCTTTATGTCAGCCTGCTTTTTTTTAAGCCCAACTTAAGCTTTTTTCTGTTTCTTCCATACAATCATACATCCCAACGTCTACTGTGTGGCTTAACTATAGTACAACCAGAAATTATTGAGAATTTAAAGACTGTAAATTTTTTTTCACTCATTACTCACGTATTAAATGTGAATATTAGCAGAACATAACTACAGATTCAAAGACAGGTGAACAGTTAGTATTTTGTCAAGTCACCATGGGCAGCAATGCAGGCTTCAATGCGGCGGGGCATACTACTGATCAAAGAAGTTAGAAAGTCGTGGGCCATGCTGTCTAAATATCGGACCACCTCTTCTTTCATTTCAGCAATATTTGTCAGATTTGTCTTATTGACACTTTTCCCAAACATTTTCTATTGGATTTAGGTCAGGGCTATAGCTTGGCCAATCTAATAATGTCACATTTGGGTCCGAAACCAGGCCTGTGAATGCTATGAACGATGTTTTGGGTCGTTGTCCTACTGGAAAATCCAAACATTTCCATAGAACACGTGAGCGGATGGAAGTAAATGTCCCTCGAGAATATCTGTGTACCGCTCACTGTTCATATTCCCTTCAAATACACAGAGGGGGCGTTGCCCCTAACACAGATATGCCACCCCGCACGTTAAGTTTTGGGACTGTACTTTGGGCGCTGATACAAAGGTTTTTCAATTTGTTTGGTCCAGAATTTCAGTGTAGAAACAAGAATACCAAGCCGCCTCCTGTCACCGACAGTTTCTGGGCCTACCTGCGCCTCCCTGGTGCTCAATGCCATATCCATTTGCAATATCTTTCGAAACACGATAAACAGTGGACAAAGGGATGCCTGTTCTACTTGAAATCACTTTAGCTGATCTGATGGCCTTGTTATAATACTCTAAAATCAACTTCCTCTTCTCTAAATCATCCATACTGAGGATCACTGAAAATGTCTGCTAGCTAACTCTTCACAAACTAATGAAAAAGGATTAACGGAGTTGTCTCTCTTGAATGAAACCAAGCACTTGATAGCTGGTCAAGGTTGTTTATACTAGAAATCCAATTAAACATATTCCTAAAATTCTCAATAATCTCAGGTCACACTATACAACCATACAGCAATATAACCTCACCATAATTTATCCCAAGTGTTACCTTTTCAAAATGTCCCATATAACCTTGTCCGTCACATATTTATGCCATCTTAAACAAAACTCGTCATTATTCAACCCATGGGACATTTCCTATCCCTTAGTCGTTCCAATCCGCAACTTACAACATAAAGGTACTAGACAGCATGGGCAGCTCCACCACCCGCATCTACGTCGACAACGTTCAACAAATAGATGACAAAGCAATTACCACACAGACATCGCAGTTGTGTACATTCTTCATCAGCTGAAATACTATTATTCACTGAAACTGTAAGTCGGTAAGGAGATATCCTATGACCCCTGTTTTCGTGAGGTCTGCAACTTGAGCTGGCCTTTATATATTAGACAGCAGGGATAACAGCTCTAATCACGTTATTCTCGCGCCGCTACGAGACGTCAGAGCGAGATTCTGCTGTAAGGGGATACAACTGCTTATTACAGGGAGACGAAAATGTATTTAGAGCTCTGGACATGGCTGGATATTTATAAAGGATTCACCACATCCTGAACTGGACATCACAAACAAAGGTATCAGTTCCTGTTCCGTCGGATGCTGTCATTAGTGGGTGTATGTACTCTTTGACTGCACAGCCATATGATGTACCGTCAACGGCGATGCTGTCTGTCCACACACACACGCACCTGCTTCCCGAGAGTCCTAATGGTAATAATTAAAAGACAATACAATCAATCCAGCTGACAGTAAAGACGTTTTCACATAAGGATCCACGGTCGGTTTAGCCGACTATTAATTTTAAGGCGAAATAACGATACACGGTTCCTGACAAAGATGTGAATCTGGTTATTTATACATGAGATTATTTACTATCGAGGATGGGGCTCCGTCCTCACATATGTCCGGATACTTGCATTTATATAAAGGCCGGAACTACTCTCTTATACATGCAGGGACAATTCTCCGTCCTTGCGAGGGACGATAGGATAGCCTCGTGGGGAATACAAATAATAATAATAATAATAATGTGGTTTTGTATCCCGCTAGATTCCATACACTCGTGTAATCTCAAAGCGGCACATAGTTCAAAAGTCATAGTGTTCACGGAATATGAAGGTCTTTAGTCGGAATGTGAAAGAGTCAAATGAAGGAGGGAGTTTATATGTTTAGAGTCAGATTGTTCCAGAGTCTTGGGGCATATACATAGAATATCACCAAAGCTTGTGAAGTTGAATTGAGGGCTATCACGGGGTAACGACTCAAACCCTGTTTCCATTCCCGGCACAAGGTGTGACCCATCGAAAGTTGCTTAACTGACACGTAAACCAATGCCAACTCACCCACCCCAACCGAATACAAGCTTTTCATATCAGTTTAAAACAATTTCCTCTTGAACACAATTAGCCATACCGGTGTAAACAACTAAATCGATGACAACATCTTGTTTTTGTGCCTGTTGTGACGTTTAGACGTAGTTTATTATTGTGATTAGCTTTCGATGTAAACGTGATAAGGTCTTGTGGGGATAACGCTGTTCTACAGTTATTAGGACGACCCAGAGGATACCAAAGCGTAGAACTATTTTGTGTTGATTCCCAAGTTGATACTAAATTAACAGCGAACTATCGATGTATGAAACCAACAAAAAAAACTCAAAGAAATGTACGGTAATTAACAATCGTATTCTAAAATGAACTAAGATCACACTTCAAATACAAATTAATACAAAAATATCACTATTGAAGTACAAATTAGTGTGGCAGTACACATTCAAAGGCGATACTATTCAACAGCAGTGACTATGGCAATAAAGACATATGAGTAATGCAGAGAACAAGAGTAAAAGAATCATTTCTAGTAACTTAAACTTTGGATGTAGCGATCTTAATGGTCACAGGTTTGACCGTTTTGTTCATTATGTTTCACTGTGTAATGGTCGATATAGCAATGAAGAAGTCTCCACTATATATCTTCTTATGTTTAAAATTATCTATTTAAGATCAAACAGATCCTGTTACACAGATTGCTCTGAATACTGCATTGTATTGTAATTTTAACTTGTCGGAAGATATCTATTTGAAAGACATGTAAACTGTACATGAATTGTTCCCGCTGAGTAAGCTGCTTTGTTTTTATTAATTATGGTTATGCATAACCCGTTACTTAGTGTGTACTATATATATTCCATGATTACACAGTGCCATTTAGAAAGTGGTCAAATGTAACATATGTTATATTTGGGATTACACTTTCTTAGTAAAGTACAGATTCTAGTACTTTTGGGTTGAGCGCCATCCGGGATTCGAACCCACATCCTAAGAGTCA